ATATAAGCGTTTACACGGATCCTCTGAAATTGGCTACTTTTCCCGCATCTCAGAGCTTTGCAGCCGATGGCACCGAGACTTTCGCTGATAGGAGTGCCAAAGCAAGAAACGTTAAGATATTAACTTAATAAACCACGCGTTTCTTTAATTGTCAGTGACACGAGCGCAGCCTACGATGCTATGAAGCCAGTCAGGCAGCGCTAAAAGCTCATCGTCACGGCACTCGTCGTCTTTTTGCCCTTGCTATCACCAGCTAAACCAATTGCTTGAAATAATGCAGCGCAATCCGGCGTATTTTCTTCTTTTTTTTTTCCTCTTCTTCCTCATCTTCCTCTCTCTTCCCTTGGAAGAGAGAGGAAGATGAGAAAATAAAGAAACGTTCAACTTGCACTATTCCCCATAGAAATCGTGACGTGAACGGTTAACATAAATCAATATAGTACGCCAATCATGATGTTATCTTACGCGAAGGTATGCACTTTCCGGTGCAGTAGTGTATGCTTGATTGCGTAATATGGGAGAAATGATTCTCTTGACTAACATTGTGTTCTGCTGTTGACAGATCATTCGAAGTCGTATTCTTTGGGAAGCATGTCATAGATTATGTTAAAAAAAATGTTTTTCTTTTTAGAGGCATGCACAAATTACAGCCACAAACTTTGCATAGCACTAGAAGTTATAGCTCCTCTATTTCCAACTTCATCCAAACCTATTTTATGAAAAGCTTCCCCAGGATCGTGTCCCCCGCAAAGAAATGAAGACACCGAACTCTGGACACCTACCGCCATCTATGAGCGGCGGCGGCAAGCCACGTATCTGGTTGCCGCCGTCGCTCATAGATGGCGGCAGCTTTTCCACTCTGGCTTGCCGACTTGCGGCCCGCCATTATTCGCGACTCCAGCGACCTATAGGGGGCGCCACCACCAAACAAACATGGCGGCTGAGTCCAGGTCGCGTCGGCTCGGCCGAGCCGCCTGAACGGGTGGCGCGTTCAATTTAACAGATTTTCTTTTGTTTAATGCCCAATTTTATAGGTATTTGAACTGAGACGGTTAAGTGTAGCCCGTGCAAATAAATTTGCAAAGCATAGTTTTGTTTTGCCGGTGTTTTTTGTTCTTTTCGTGTCAAACTTTCGTTTCGGAGATTTCGTTCAAAACCGAAACTATGGACTCCGGAGAGGCGGTAATATACTAATCAGTTTTGATCATCTAAGGAAAGCGGCGTTGACTACAGACTTGTTCCACAGAGAGTAACGTTTCAGCTAACTCGCATGCCTCGACCATGCGAATTATCTGTTCGCGAAATCCAGCTTCTGTGCGTATCCGCGTTTAAGAAACTGCTCCAGTCGTCTGCTCGGTCAACAACACAGGCTGCAGGAAAATTACGAAAATTAAGCAAGCGCTTCTTGAGTCAAGGACCATGTTAACCCGCTGGCGCCCGACTAAGCAGCTGATACTCGTATTTCAATTCAGGTTTTAGTAGCAATCGAGAAGATATTTTGACGAGCGGGTTATGTATTATATTACGTACTATGTCCACTAAGGTGATATTAGTATATTCTTCGGGTTGAAATATGAGTTGACTAGCTATTAGGTGAGCTGTTGAATAAAAGTATATTTGACAGACAGAGAGATACTACTTAAACTTAGCCAAATGGTTCTATAGCCGGCAGCACGGAGACAAACCGAAGAAAGTCTTCATCGAGCATTCACGCAGAACCTCTCTGCATTGAACTTTGCTTCGAATCCTGAACGGAAAAAATGAGTATTTTTTGTGGCCGGTCAACCTGAGCAATGTAGACGTATATTGCTGCTGGCTTCGATGTCCTCGTAATATAAATATTGGAGGCGCGATAGGTCAAAATGCCGTGACAGCATCTAACGTTGCGAGACTCGTCCCAATTTCCATCACTCATAATTTGCAGCGAGCAGGTTTTTCTGAATCAAGTAATTGCGAAATCAGCCCAACTCCTTCAGTGTGGTCCAGAGGCTTTTTCGGCGAAAAGCAGTCAAGATGAATAGCCAACGAACCGACCGGGGTGGGTGGCTCAAACTTGAAGCAATAGCCGAACACAACCAAACTCAACACTCTCAAGAAAAAAGGGTGTCAAAAGGTGTATCATTACACCCTTTGTCCCATATAATACACCCCCAAACTTTAATTTGACGTCCAGCGCCCTACAGTCGAACAGACGGCCCGAAATTTTACGAGGGGCTTGATAGCCGTGTGGCCCAGCTTTTTAAATAGCTAAAGTACGTTTCAAAGACGACATAAAGAAAACATCGAGTTTTTACAGTAGGGCCAAGAAAACCCCAATTATTTTTTTCGTGGTCAGTAAAACGTACATTAGCTATTTTAATGAGTTGCACCACACGGTTATCAAGCCCCCTCGTAAAATTTCGGGCCGTCTGTTCGACTGTAGGGCGCTGTACGTCGAATTGAAATTTCGGGGTGTATTATATGGGACAAAGGGTGTAACAATACACCCTTTTACACCCTTTTTTCTTGAGAGTGAAGGAAAGCAGCTATCGAACCTTTCCATTCACTTGACTGCAACATTGATGTTCCCTCCAGTGAAATGCCTCGTCTGTCGTCCTCAGTCCACTGTTCTACATCCTTATAAAGAAAGCATTTATCAGTTACCAAGTAGTCGTCACTTTGAATGTGAATCGAGACAGACAAGAAATGAAAACGTTTTTCCGTGATTCCTCCCCATCCAAGAAATCGAAAGCACGCGACCGTATGCTGTGGAGTAAACGGGCTTTCAAACACGTAATAGAAGAAAACAATCTACTGAGGCTTCACCACACTAATGATCACTCAGGCAAACTTAAGAAATATTCGGACCTTCGTCAAATTACAGTGTTCGCGACCGCGCCGACTACACGCTTCCGCGAAAGCCATCAGAGACGCGGAGGGGCGCGAGCGACCTGGACCGGCTGGTTCCCGGTTTTCCCGCTTGGTGGTGTCCGTTTTGCTGGAGTCGCGAATACCTTCCATTGCACAGCTTCGCTTCCTTCTTCACCAGAGTGGAAAGACTGAAAGTTTTTGAAAACGTTTTTGCTATACTGCCACGCGAGCCATGCCCACGCGAGCCAAGCAACACCACCACGGAATGAGGAGCAAACTACCTCAAGCTCTTGAGTTTCTTACCATACACCGTCGGTCGTATGATGATTCTCTTTCTTATGGACTGAGCGAACTAATATAACGGCTTCGTGAGAAAAAATAAAACCCAATTTATTGGTCCGGATAAATAACGCATAGAAAGCTCGAACTTCGCGAGGATGTGGTGCTAGCGATGGTGAAGGAATGTCAAAGGTGATAGAATGTCAAAGGACACGACGTTACCTGGATCGGAATATAAAACCGGGAAACGGACTCTCTCAGTGAGCCCACGTTTACATGACAGGATTGTCAAGCCAAACAATGAGATTTCGGGTACCTGTAGCATTTATATCAATTCAAACAAACTGCCAGCAAGCAAGAGAGCAATACTGTCTTTCTTGCTGACCCCCCCCCCCCCCCCCCCCTTCTATAGTGTTTTCAAAACAATAAATTCAACAGGCTCTCTCTCATGGTGTCATATTTTGGGTTGACGAATACTGGCTTAGGTGGACGTCACGGCTCAGAAAATGTTCGCGCCTCTGTTTTATCTTTCGATTCAAATAACGCAGTGTTCTCAAACTTAAAGGAGCGGTGCAACGATATTCAATTGGAATGTTTTTCACTTGACACAAGCTTACTGGCACACCTGGGACTCAAGGATACTCACACGCAACGGCACCGGCCAAGAAACTCCTTTGTTGCGGTGTAATTTCAAGGACAAAAGCGATCATTTTCATTCAACCTCTCCTTTGCAAAATTGGATGACGTAACTCGGGGATCGCAGTACACCCAAGTGACGATATTTGAATGCGGTTCATAGATTGGACCCGAGCATTGCGTGGGCACTCGACTTGGGCTCGTGATAATTGCTAGCTCGAGAAGCATCCGGGTAGTGACCCGTGTCCAATCGCTGCAACGACGACAACAGCCGAGCCATAACAATGTCTGGAACTTAGCGCGTGTCCTGCGCTTTGGCAACCCCAGCGCGTGGCTATGATCAACACTGGCGGCATATAATCGGCTCCAGATCACGTGGCCGCTTGTTCTGGCTGCGAGTTGAGGGGGTGAACGCTGCTCGTTTTTCTTTGATTTTTTTCTGGGACTTCTGTTGCGTGGGGTGAAAAACGAACGCGTGTTTCATAGGTCATTAACGTTAGGGATCCGTTTTAAGCGGTATTTGCGCGAGGTACAAAAATTGTTGCATCGCTCCTTTAAGCATTTTATCACCAGCGCTAACGTCACATTCTCAGTAATCTTCAGCTTTCTGTGATGTGTAGCTCATTTATGCAAGCCCGAAAACTGGGCTTAATTTTATCTCACGAAGCCGGCATTCAGTAGGCTTTGATTATTATTCATCCACCTGCTTTCTCAATTAAGCCCAATGAACAGACGCATGCCATTGCCATTTTTAGTTTAAACAGTCATTAATTTGCATTTCGATGTTCGTTGCGAAATTTAGATTAACAGTTTTTTATTACTTGAATAAACTTAATTTCGTTTTCTTCGTGTTTTTTTTTTCTTTTTCTCTAGAAAAAAAAAAGAAAAAAACTTTCTTTCTCCCTAAAATCTTAGTTTTTTACACATCCCTAGCTGCAGTAGAACCCAGGTTGCCCGTTTCGGTCAGGGTGAGCATTGTACCTGCGTGCGGTTGTCTATCACTATTGCGAGGTGCACGTTAAAGACCCCAGGCTAGCAGTCGTACTGCACTGGCTAATTTTCTCATGTGCAATGGGTAACAATGTCGCCATGTTTCTGCAGAGCAAACTCCGCTGTAAAAAACAACTACCGACTAAATTATTTTTTGCTGCTGCTGCTGTTGTTGTTGGCATCCTTGAGTTTTTGGCGCATACCCACGGGTGGGACTGGTCAGTGGGCAGTGTAAGTCGCTGATGTTCCAGAATATGTTTATAAGTTTATTAGTCATCCTCCTCCTCGCTGTCTTCATCATCCCCCGGGGCACTTTGACCGTAGACAGTCCTGTCACCAACGAGCTGCATGGCGGTTGGGGGCGCATCAGACGCGGGAACTTGTTGCAGCCTCATCTCTATGTTGGTCCCACCGTGGCCTACGAAGGTTCCTGCGGTCTCGACAGCTACGCCGTCTTTGACCTTCTTCAGACTGGGGTCGACCTTTGTGAGATGTCCGACAGGGTAGAACCACAGCCAATGACCGTTGACCTTGTTATGGTACCAGACGGCAACGTTCCCCGTGGCCACCACGTCGGCCGTCCACGGCGCCTCGATTTCCAGGGTGGTCTCTGTCCATTTCGCACATACAGCCGTCATCGGAGGCACCGCAATTTCTTGTGCATTGTGGACCATCTCGCTGTCGTATTCGTTCTTACCGGTGGTGGTGTTGAGGTTGATAGAGAAGCTTACAGGTAGCTTGACATTGAGCTGAACCTTGGGGAATTTGGCGGTGCCGGACACGTTGAACCCGGACTTGAAGGTTTTGCTCTTCCTCCACTCGAAGGTAGTGTTGCGCTGCAACAGAGACTGTACGATGACGGTACGAGTTTTGTTCGCTTCTAGGTTGGTGAAACACTTGTTGAGCATGACCCTGGTGGTATTGGAAACAGTTTTCACGTCGCCATACTTGAACTCCGGGTCGTGTAAAGTAACGTGCATTCTGCAAAAAAGAAAAAAAAAATGTACCCGAACATTTTTGCAGAATGTGAGGAATAAACTCCCTGTAGTTAGTACTACGTCATGCGGGAAGACAGTTTGGTTGAGAGACCATATGAGACTAAGAATATGTCCATATTTTTTCGCAGCAAGATTTCTCGGTAAGCGCATTCATAAACGGGCAGTAACATAAAATTAGCTTGAAAAGTGTGTGTGTGTGTGTGTGTGTGTGTGTGTGTGTGTGTGTGTGTGTGTGTGTGTGTGTGTGTGTGTGTGTGTGTGTGTGTGTGCGCGTGGGGGGGGGGGGGGTATTTCGAAAACCACGTTGCAGAAGTTACGAATACAGGCTACACAAAGTATACCTTGATAGCATAATCGTACTGCGGTGTCTTTTTTTTTTTTCACTCTAAGAAATGTCTGCGCGTCTACTTACCCGCAAAACACTCGAAGAGCCAATCTCTGCGATCTACGAAGTCAGCTCAGCGAATGATGAGGCGGAACATCTGTTTAGACCTAAAAATAAAGTCTGCGCTGTAGCATTACGCAATGCAAAGCGTCATGCTTGCATTGCGTAATGCCACAGCGCAGACTTCATTTTTAGGTCTAAACAGATGTTCCGCCTCATCATTCGCTGAGCTGATTTCGTAGATCGCAATGACTGGCTCTTTGAGTGTTTTGCGGGTAAGTAGAGGCGCAGGCATTTCTTAGGGTATACAGTTATCTGAAAGCTACAGGAAAAGGATGCACATGACGGCAAATTTTTTCAACTATTTTGGAAGCAAGATTTTCCTCTGATATCCAAACTACTGAGCGTTTTTGCACGCCAGATCAAAAGCCGGAACATTATTATAATTTATCATTATCCGCTAAATCAACGAAACAGCGCGTATGGGTTGGATTCTTCACAAGAAAGTTATCAGGCCAGTCTAGGAAGTTTTATCTGCTGTCGAGTACAACCCTGCAAGGGCGTCGATTGCACTGTTCTACTTTAGATTAGTAAGAGGCAAGGTGCACATCAGATAACGATGCATACGTGTACCTAAAAACTCTCGCATAGACTAATTGTTCTCATATCAGTGATATTAAAACAAAATAAAATCACAATTTCTATTGTTCTCGGTGCAAGAAAAAACAAAAAAAAAAAACTGCCACTTGCGAAGCATAATAGCAGTATTTAGTAGGAATGCCAAGACAACAATATGGATTGTGTTGTTTTTTTTCGTTTCATGCAGGACGATGTTTTTTGTATACTAAACTGGTGTTCGTCATTTTTTAAATTAATTAATCCAGATAAAACTAAATCTTTGTCCTTATAAGAAAAAACGAGAAGTAATTCTCGTTTTTTCGTTATCTTGGAGTGTTGTTTGATAGCTAGTTTTCATTTGGCTGTCACGTGACTCATATTGTCGGTTGTGCAGTTCGAATATTGGGTCTAATATCTCGCATAACTCGAAATTCTGATAATGTAGCATGAATACTTCGTTTAATCACAACCCTCATCCGATGTGTGCTAGAGTTTGGTTTTATAGTATAGAATTCGTTCAGTTCATCTTGTATAGACCGTATAGAATCGATTCAGCGACGTTTTGTTCATATAAGCTATTCCAGATACTTTGGCCGAATGCGCTTTTATAATTATAAACGCCTACTGGATCAGCCAGAAGTTCAAGTTTTATCCATTGGAAGGCTGTTACGTGATGTTACCTTTTTGTACAAAATAACTAACGGTGTTATACACTCCGAACTTTCGTGCCCAGTGAACTTCAATCTACCTTCTCGTTTAAATATGAGTGCACTTACATTTTACCCACATAAATATATGTTAACCCCGAATTCAATATTTCAGGCATGTATAAATGATTTTCGGAATGTAGACTTGGGAATTTTTTCGTTTGCAATTATGATAATTTTGTTAGGCAGCTGAATGATATGCTTATCCTTTCTTATTAGTGCATTGAATTTTCGCCTTGATTGTGTCTGTGTTATATATATATATATATATATATATATATAGTTATGAAAGTGCGTTTTATTTATTTCTATGCTTGGGAGAAGAGCGTGTTGGTTTGGGTCATGGATGAAGAAAGAATAAAACAATTAAAACAGGGACAACACAACCACATCTTTCATTGAAAGATTTGGTTGTGTTGTCCCTGTTTTAATTGTTTTATTCTTTCTTCATTCATATTTATTTCTGCACGTTTTACATTTTATTACGTTGTGCCACATTACAGATGATTGTTGTTTATGGTCAAAGAAATAAAGACGACATGGTGATGGTGATGATACTATAAATTGAAAAATTTTGGTCTATGGCCGAGCTTTGAGGTGATGAATGATACTTCGTATTTCATAAGTTAGGTCGTGGGATTCGTCGTAAATTCAAAATAACTGTGGGACCTAGCTTCGTCGAATCTCTGACTAGATATACCATATGGCTGCTTTTGCTTTGTCGAGCTGCTTTTGAATCAACTTTGGGGATATCCCCGATCGCAGAGGACAGGGATAGCACGTGCAACATCCCTTTGCACTGCCTGCTATTTCTGGTGTTGATATGGATGAGAGCTGTATGGTGAATACTATGCGAGGCACACTGCACTGACCAAATTTCCCTTTTAAAGCAGTGAGGGGAAGTTCTAACCTTTCAGAACCTGTAATCTTCTCTCTGTATAGACATCCGTGCAACCAATTTGAGTCTTTTAAAGTGAATGACTTATCGCACGTTTGTTATAACAGCATATGTCGCACAAGCTTCATCCTCGTCGGGAGTCGTGAAGTACGCTCCCGAGACTTGGGGAATATCGTTTTGCTTCGTCTCCATAAGAGGGAGCTCCGTGATCCCATAACTTCTCGTGGCGACTCATAGAAACGTGTGACTCATCCAACGAGCATGTTGATTCCACCGCACTGTTAGCTTAGAGGGATATTCTTACCTCCGGTATCTCGCTTTTGTCTTGAGATGGGGATGTTTCCCGTAGGCGTCGTGCCAGGACACTGGCTGCTTGTTGTCTTCAGACATTTTATCTACAAACGCCTTGACTGTTTTGTCAAAGTCGTATTCATCAGCGGCCACTGCAGGAAAGATAACAGGCGTTAAATCACATCGAATTTAGTTTGTGATTCCAACGCGCTGAATAACAATTTTTTTAACGGTTGAATTATTTATTATTTTTGCGTTATGTTGATAATCAAGCTACGTTCATCGAGATAAAATTAATTATCTGATTGGCGAAGTTCACCTGGCAGGCAAGTCACTGTTTGAAACAATGATGTTCGATACTAGCGCACATTCACCTTTATTCTTTGTTTATAATTTTATACGAATATATTTTCCTAACTGAACGTCGCAGTATATGAAAGCGGAAGAAATCAAGTCTCTGAATCGCATTTTCTATATATGGGACTAAAAAAAATCCCTTAGAGGAGGGCAGCAGAAACGTCCAAGCCTCTTTGACGAAATTTTGATGAGGAAACGAATAGTGAATAGGAGCAAGTGGCAGCTCGTTTGTTACTGGCACAAGCGTTCCATCACCGAGACGCATCAAGATATATTAGCGAGCTTTAGTGGGCCGCCTTCGTGCGATCGCCACTGCGCATGCGCGGCCGCTTTGAGTTTGAGCGTAACCGGCTGCGCACGCGAGTGGAGCGGAAAGTTAAACGCTATCTACTAAAACTCCCTTTTTACGCGTGTCTTTAGAGCGATGTTACGTTTAGCTATTTTAAACACGGGAAATGCGGACAACGCACTCACCGGTTAGGCACACGACCTGTAATTAAATAAATAAAAATAGAGTTAATATTTTGACCATAAAAAAAAAATTGACGAACCTATACCACTCGCAAACAAAACCGGACTCACCAAAGATAACACCACCAGAACCCTCGCGTAAATCATCCTGCAAAGTCGGATGGTGCCACTCTGTGAAAAATGCTCGAGATCCGGATAACACCTTTTTTATATATCTCCTATTATCTGCGAGCCCCTTTCGTCTTAATGGTTCGATCCATTAGACTGTCCACGCTAACATGTTCGTTCTATCTCTGTCTCTTATGGTCTTATAATCGATGACGTAAGCTGCGCTCGCTCGAACCGTCGACACTTATCGGCGCTTCGATTGACGATATTTTATTGGAACGACATAGCTTCACATATCATGAGAGGCACTAATGATCCCGTGACAGTGCCCAAACAATGGATCGCCCATTTCTCTCTCTCTCTCTCTCTTTCTGCTTCTTGCGCGGTTTGCGGATATTTTGTGAATACACATCTATATAGCCGGTGACAGGCTCAGGGAAAGCTCCTCCCACCCATTCTCACTTTAGCAGAGTGAACGTTGGAGAGGAGGTCTCCTCCTCTCCAGCGTTCGCTCTGCTAAAGTGGGAAAAGGTGGGAGGAGCTTTCCCTGAACTCTTCACCTGTCACCGACTATAGCGAGGAATTAATTTGCGTAATATATTATTGTGTGTTCAGCAATAAATTTTAGGGGTAAATATCTTTTTAAAGACAGCTTGTTTTTGCAAGTTGTGTCGCTCTGTGTACTTACGTTATGCACACGTGTGTGGTGGTAGTGACGGTGTATTTCATAAAGGTGTAGAAACACCAGACCGAATTGGAACGTTTTAGGGTGAGAAATGACTCGTTTCAGGTGGCGAAATGACCACCTGACAAAGGCAGAGGAGGGGCGAGATGTTCAAAGAACTTTGACTCATAAAGCGTTCCCTCGCATGGTAAGAAACTGAGGCAACCCCATATTTGTTCCACGGTGGGACTTCATGAGGACAAGGCCCCATGAAGACCTCCGCTTGGCTCCTCCGTGAACGCGGTTCGTCAAACATTTCAGTATCTGGAGGATGTACCTTATACCTTGAGGGTAAATAAGGAAATAAACAAACTGGAGGATGCACCTTGTACCTTGAGGATAAATAAAGAAAAAAATAAACTTATCAGAATATGTGCAGGCTGAGCTAATACTGTATGGGCCTTGTATAAAGTTTCCATTCACTGGTTTGCGAGACCAAAATGAATATGCACCTTCTTCTAATGCAGGTCAACATTCTGGATAGCCATCTGTTGTGCATCCTCCATATGATGTGCTATCCTGCAGCAAGAAGAAGATACAATATTATAACTGTCAGTGTCAAAGGTCAGGAATCTAATAATACGCGGACGGATGCTATTTTATATCTGAAGAGTAGCTGAAAAGCAGGACCTGCACAAAGCAAAAGTGGAGCCATGTCACCAAAAACCAAGGTAGCATTTCAGACAAAAAATGGTGACATTAAAAACTGATCATATTGTTATATTTCTTTTGTTCCTCGCGTACCAAACAGTTTGCTCCTTTTTCTTCCGAATATTTTTAACGCAATCAAGAACTTTTTTTTTTTTTTTACTATTTTGGTGGGTAAATTTTTTTACGTTGAGCGGCTGTCCTTGAGATATGTTGGAGACAATGGTTCAGTGCCCTAGAGAGGCAATTTAGCTGACGACTGCCACCAATACGGAGTGGCTGATACAGTGCCATAGTACTGATTATACGATCGCGCGCAAGTCGTGTTATCATTATTAATACAGAACATGCATTCCTTCTACATAAAATAAATAACAGAAAGAAGACCCATGGATTTATCGTGACTTAGTGCATTACAAACCGCACCAAATTTGTTTGAAAACAAATCCACCACTTCTAGCAACTTCTTTACTGAAAAAAAGAAAAAAAAGAAAACACTTTACGGGAGACCGTGGCAATATCTGTCAATTTTGAATATACTTTTTACATGACTTATTGTTTATCATCTGCAATTGTGCACCACGTTGTTGTGAACTTACAGGCCGCGTCTGTTTTCGATTCTGTTCTTTTGAACTCTCAAGTCTGAAGACTTGAGAGTTCAAAAGAAAATCGAAAATTCAATCACTTCAATTTAGGGGTGCAAAAATATAAATTTTTAACTGCTAATCGATTACGAGTGTCACATACTTGAACCGAATCGAATGTTTTAATACGACTTTTACAGAGACTGTTAATTAATATGAATGCTTTAGCAAATCACAACCGGATGTGTTTTTCTTTCGACAAACATGATTTGTAAAAATTGTTTTATTGCTTGACAAACATTTCACGCTCTTCTATTCAATATACGTATATATATAAAAAATGTCCCTGGTGAGATGAGTCCAGTAAAACATAATGTAACATGGCAAGTAATGTAATAACTACCTTATCTATTTGAATATAGGTTGACGTTCGTTGCCAGCACTGCCCCCCCCCCCCCCTCTTTCCTTTTTTTTTTCTTCTTCTTTTATTGTCGCTCGATTTTATGCTATCTGTCGAAGTAGGTTGACCCGTAGTAGTAAGCAATATTTTCCAGCCCATCGGACCAACAGAGATGTTCCGGTACGCCAGCCGTGTTTCTCCTAGCACGCCGGTGCGAAGCAGTGAAGACTGACGCGAGCGCATCGGTGTAAAGCGGCAAAGTTTGACACGAGTGCAGGGGGATCGGTGACCCAGTAAGCTAACGCGTCTCAGATCGGAGCAAAATAATTGGGGTAGTGGGCATGGGCGTACCAACCGGGGGGCAAGGGGGGCGCTTGCCCCCCCCCCCCCCCCCCCCCCCCCCCCCCCCCCAGTTCTCAGAGTGGGGGGCAAGGTATGTGTTTTGCTGGGCAAACACTGGCCGGCGGCGCCCAAGGGATACCAAGGGCAGCGGCTCCCGTCCCTGGAAGGGGGGGGGGGGGGGGGGAGTGACTGGATTGCCTCGCCCCCCCCCCCCCCCCCCCCCCCGCTCGAATACAAGTTGGTACGCCACTGGTTGTGGGTAGGGTGTCTACATGTTTCCGCTCCGGAGCATACCGGAGCGGCGGAAACATGTAGGCACCCTAGTTGTAGGGATATTTATACAGCGTGTAGTTGGTCAGTCATTTCAAAGTTGCGGCGAGTCACCCGCTGTAGATGAGCAATTTAGCCAGTGCAGTACAAGTTGGTGTCTTTAACGTGCACCACGCAGTAGTGATACACGACCGCACGCCGGTACGATGCTCATCCAGATCGAAACGGGAGCGGGTGGAGATTGAACCCAGGATCCCTGGGTTGTGCAGCGCGAGCTTTCGCTCCACGTGCTACGAGCTGGTGTGCGCTAGCCCACTCGGCCACCGACCTCCTCAGATCAGAGCGTGGGGCGAAAGCTTGCGCTGCACAACTTCCCGGGTTCGATCCCCCACACCCAGCCCGTTTCGATCTGGATGAGTTTCGTACCGGCACGTGTTTGTGTAATCACTACTGCGTGGTGCACATTCAAGACCCCAGGTTACCAGTTGTGATGAGGTGGAACTTGACGAGAGAAATCTGGGAATTCCGACATTACTCGTATTTTTTAAGATTCGAAAAAAAAAAAAAATCATATACTATTAACAAAACGCTTGGTGCAGTAGTAAAAACACTGCGGGGCGCAGGTTCCTCTGCTTCTTGCACGGGGGTTGCGAGGATGTCACAATGAAAACAAATACTGGGTAGACCTCAAGGCATCTAGCATTGGGGTCTACCCACTATCCTGCTAATCAAAGCCAATCGGAACTCCACGTCCTTCTGACGTCACCCAGTCACCGCAACCCCTGCGCAAGGAGCAGACTCGCTCTCCGCATTCGGAAATTATTTAAAGTCCCGAATATTCGCGCACCCCTACATACCACTAATTCGATTCCTAGGCTTCGCCCACATGGATACTGATGGAATAACATGGAACAGTGTCGGGATTATTTCAAGGGGATGAAAACAAATGAATGCATAGATGGCGCAAGCCGCCGTCTAATTAAAAAGGCTCACTCGTGTGTCTCAGACCTACATAGTTTTCGACAAAACCTTTTATTGCTTAATTATTCAAGTTTATAAATAAATTTTCGTTTAATTTTCAATACTTTACATACTAAAATGCTTTATTTTACTCGAAGTGTGTCGCTAACGTCGCTAAGGTATATTTTTACCAATTATGTTTAGCTGTAAACCAGCGCCGCGCAGCGTACGGTGGTATTTTTCCAAGACGGATATGGCCAGGGCAAGTACAAGAGAAGGACATGACGTCACTGCGGCCTCTGCTTTGTTGCAAGAGGAACTGATTATTGCTGTGGTTTGAGTCGCACGTATTATCCGTGAACTATCCATTTGTTTTGTGTAATATGATTAATGAATCCGACCAAAATGGGAAGGGTCTAGAGCAGCAGGTAAATTTCAGCCAATTTGGCCTTTTCCACTGAACAGGATATTTTTTTTTTTTATTTCGGCATAAGACAAACTGCAGGATTCCAAGTTAGGGTTAGCGTGTAGCACGGTACTCTCAAGAAGATGGCGCATTGGGATAAAAGTTTACCCTTGTGGAATCCCTCCGTGCCTCTGGATTTTGCATCGTGTTGGGTCCTCTGCAACAATGTAATAACCTTTCCTTTTCACGAGTGACACAAGATGTTTGTGCTCAAAAGTTTTTGCTCGGTTTGTGCGGAAGACTTACATTTACGAGGACGATAGCAAAGTAGTCTTAGGACCAAAAAAAAAAAAAAAAAAAGCCACGAATTACTTTTTCTTCGCCCTCGACGCTTCCTTTGTTCTGTCGGTCGCTGGCCCTCTTTTTAACCTCCGGACTTAACATCGCGATGGACCTGGCGTCCAGCGCTGCTTTTTCTGGCCGTTTTTAATCCCGTTGAGTGCAACCGCTGCCCCGTAATCGTATCTGCTCTGTTCGGCCTCTCCAAAAAGATCGCCTGCCCGTGGCCTAGTTCCGTTTCACTCGTAGCCGGCTCAGCACCCGGCGCGGTTTGGTTTGTCCAAACACGGGTTTATTCCGCACGGTTAAGCCTTAACATTAGTCATCCCTTCCTCCTAAACCCGTCGCCGACTCCTACACGGTCCTCGGTTCGAGCCTTTTACGTTTTCGCGTGGTGTGGCGGCAGACACCTTTCCAAGCCTTTTTCTCTCGGGAGCAACGCTTTGTTCTTTCGCACTCCCATCGGAGTCGATGAAAGGTTGACGGCTTCGGCGAGCCGATAACTGCGCGTGGCCACGGCGAGAGTCCCGAATTAGGATAGCGCTAGCGTCGTCGAATACCTGCAGTTTGCTTGCCTTGGTTAGTTTTCTAGCGCTAGTAGTCTAGCGTAGAGAGTTCCGTCCTGGCTCCTCGAGTGCTACCCAAATAACATGTCTTTTGGGGATCAATTTGCCTTTGGTTCCTCTATTCTAAGGCTCTCTGTAGTTACTCAACCGGATGGGTGTCAACAAAAGCAGATAAATTCCGTCTGTGCTTGCTGTTTCTTTTTTATATTGTTTTCTTTTTGCATGATTTGTAATATTTCAGTTGTGTGCAGAGATCTCTGCTTGTAGCCATGTTAGAAACTGATCAACTCATGGCCAGATAAATGGAGAATCTGGAACCGCAAATCTTTCTGGAAGAGTGATAGATTTGTTTTTTTGTGGCCCCAGATGGTTGGACTTTCTGAAATTGTCATGTACAAACTCTGCTTAGGCTTATTTTTTCAGTTTGAGATTGAGGTTCTCTCGTTTTAGTACCTTGTCATTCAAACTTTGTTCATTGATTTATTTCTTATGGAATGATCAGCTTATGAAATCTCGACAAGTATATATTGTGAACCCTACCCTGTTTTTGAAATGAGTCACTTTAGTCCATGGAGTTGTAAGAATTGTAAATATAACTTTTTGTTTTCATTTCTTTTGCGTTGAATGATAGAAAGGTTAGCCTGAGCACATGGCTCTAGTTGAATGAATGGGGTAGAGAGGAATGCTCATGTTGCAGTTCACATGACCTCACATGTTTTCCCTGAATTTTCTTAGTTTGCTGGTCTAGACTTGAACTCCGGTTCCCAAGGAAACAAGTCTGGTAAGTGATTTCTTCAAACATTGGGAAGGGGAGGTGGGAACTACCAGAATCTAGGGAGAGGAATACAGTATGGCACGGAATTCTTTCTGATGGTGAACCACGTGATCTCGCTTTCTCACCCCATATTATTTTTCTGTAATGGCAGTTTTTAATTTTCTAAGTAATTCTTGAATAGCATCGAAGTATTGTCTCGATTGCCTTGTGGAGTACTGTATTGCTGTACGTTTGTGCACACTTGCATGAGAGCAAAGACATGACTAACTTCCACTTAGAGATGAGAAAGCAATTTTTGTCACGCTTTTGGTTAGGTGTAGGCTTAAGAATTACTTTTTGAGGAGCTCATGTCTGAAAAAAAGAAGAACTAAACATACAATGTTTGTTTGTCTGTGCCAGCAATTTTTTTTCATCAATGGTGCATTTGCCTACAAGTAAACTGGTAGCTTCTCAGTTTTTCCTGCTAACAGTTTACTAGCTTGACTTTGGCTGGGGCACTTTGTGAAATATAGGAGCAGTTGCTAAGGTTGCAGTGAATGCGGTTAGCAGAATTTAGGTGTGTTTTTTTTTCTTTGCTTTCAACATGGGTGCTGGAGTGTTTACAATCCACCGATTTATGCACAATGTAGCTCGTAACAATGCTGGTCTTATAGCTGCACCATAGTTATTACAATAACCGCTAGAGGCATGGATGGTGCTAGTGTGCAGTTGCATTTTGAAGCAGGCAGCAACCAGTCTACATATGACTTCCGATGATGCATTCCTTTGGGGAAACGCAAATGCTTTTTCTCTTCACTCTTGATTATAAAAGCAAATCTTGCTTAGTGTTGTGACAGAATAAAAAGTTAGGAATGCTTTGCAATCAGATGTACGAAAATATCTCAGTGTTTTTCTTTCGAATTCATGGAGTCTAATACTGCACTACAATAGCCTAATACACATGTATAATATGTATTGGATGTTGCAGACTGCTATTATGGGGCATGTATTTGCGCATATAGTCAATGCTATGAAGCACACAGAGTAAATCAACTTGACAAAACACCAAAAGGATGCTAATATATGCCAAATCAAACAAAACAGACAAGAACGAAGCATGGAATTGTGGAACGAAGAACACATACCGGATTAGTAATCAAAATAAAGGAGTAACCGAGTGTGACCTTCTTCTTTATTTTTTGCTCGAATTGATAGCTTGTGTTGGACATATCACGCTGTACAACATAGACCTGGGCCTCAAAGTTGGTAACTGAAAAATTGCTCAGTAATGAAAAAAAATAATAAAGTAAGTCACTTTTATAATGCAAATAAAGCTTCCCTAGTACCCGTTACGAGTAGAGAAACTACAGATTTGTATCATTCCCTGTTGAAGAGAAAAATATCACTTACATTTTCCCATAGAAATGCACAGCAAGACTGGAAAAGTAGACTAATTGCTGTCTGCTTCAGTTTGCAACCGCAAGTCCCGCAGACACTAGCGCCAGCTGAGCCTCTAGCGTTTATTGTAATAACTATGGGCTGCACATTCTCGAACCCAGGTTTCTGGAAAAGGTAGATCCGTTCTTTTGCAAGAGGTGGATCCGCTCCTGGGGAACTGGGCTAGATTGTGGCCTCTCGAACTTCCCTCTCTCAAGAAAGATCCAACTTTCTCGACTGATATCCAAAGAACCCCATCCATTCTCGGTATTATTGTAGCAAAGTGGCGCAGAAACCTTTAGAACACGTAAACAGTAATGACCATACCGGGGAATGTATGGCACATGGTTGCGTATAGGTAGATAGCTTATGATTGCCAAAAAGATGTTAATTTAACGGGAAAAACTGTTCACTGGGAAGCAGGGACGGTGAACAAAAAAATAGGGAGTTCGGGAACACCGGTGTTCCCATACTCTGTTTCACTTTCGACCGCGGCTGAGAGTACAATCTGGCGGAGCCAATCGAGCAGTGCCTCGTCACAGCGATCAATGCATTTGCTGTCGCCAACAAAATTAATCGCGCGCAGTGAATGCACCTTGATCCTGGACATTTCTGTACATGATTGTTTTATCCAGTGATGGCAAAAGACGAGGAACGCCGCGACGACACGCTCTTGGTGCTGATTGTTTGAGTCCCTCGGAAGTGAAACGTGGTATAGGAAACAAGTTGTAGAAGCCCTGGGCTACGTGAAAGACCGCAAGTGTCGTCTTGGAACTGACCAATCTCTGTGACCCCAATGGAAAGTTTCCCTAAAGTCCTTCCGCGGTTGGGTGTTCCCCTTGCAGCCGCTAGCAGATACGTGCCCCCTCACCTGAGGAACAACCGATCTGTGGTGCCTGGACCTCCTCAGCCCAACAGCCAGTGGAGCCAGAAGGGGGCCTACCCGGACCCGCAGGGAGGAGACGATTGGGCCGCTCGGGACGGACAAGGTTTCAGGGGTCCGTTTCGGACTCGTTTCTTTGGACCCCACCCCTCCCCCCCTCCTCTGCATGCTGTCTTAGCTGCCGACGCCTGGGGCAAGCTTGGGCTCTCGCGGGGCTGCGTCGTGTGGTTTGTTGAAACTAGCATCAGAGGGCAGAGAAACCAACTTTTCTGTTTGTCGCTGGGTTGTGGGCACATTCCCATCCGTACAAAGATTGTAACCAGATGAGTGCGGACCGCATCGCCATGTGCTTGAGGTCGAGGAATTCTTTGTGAGGTAGACGAGAAGTGGACCTGCCGTCCAACTTACCTGGAGTTCACTTTTGCTGCAAGTAGCGAGGCCTTACATTGCAAGTAGACAGTGAGGTGTCTTACGTGACTGCTAGTGCCAGTACTACTGGTATTCACAATGATATACTTGCCGCCTTTTCTAGCGAGCGACATTGCCAGGAATGTTTGTCCCTTGGTCATAGGCGGAGGGGATTGACTCGATGCTGATAGCTGGCTCGGGGTCAGTGAGGATAGAGGTTTGGAGCTGGTTTATGTGCTTCTCGGTTGGTGCACCTAGAGCCGAGAAATAAGCTATGCTTGGAGCGTCGGTCCCCGGTCTTCTTGTGGGCTTTGGTATTGGTACGATTAGAGAATGCAACTTCCCGAGCTTCGGTACAGTCTCATTGTTTTGCTCTGCCACAAACTGTTTCAAACGTTTCAGGAGGACATAAAAACGTGCCCCATGATTTCAGACAAAGGTTCAGATAACTGGCAACCGTGAATTTAAGTGCCAAGACGGCTCAAGTACGGTTTTTCTGAAGGGTAGCTTGCTCAGTGGCATGAGAAGCACCCAGAGGGGTTTGTGCAAGAAGGCAATGGACGCCAAGCAGAAAGCTCCCTAGACGCAGCCCCACTCTAGCCGGTGCGAGCATGGCTGGGCAGCCTCGTGAACTCTCTAAACCCCCTCTCCCCCTTAACCACTGAGCAGACCCGTTATGTGGTTAGCGGCAGAGTTGTGTTTTGGGATTCACGCCACGCGGTGCTGTTTGCGTGAACCAGTGTCTTCCCCATGTCCAGGCAACGATCGCGGAGGAGGTGGCCGTGCTGACTTCTCCAATTTCGGAGGACGTTCCAAGAGGATCGATGGCCCCAATGTGCGCAACAATGCCATGCCACCACGCCAGTGAGTGGTTTTCACATTTTTTAAAATGATTTTCAGATCAACGGCGAGGACCAGGGTTTGTACGATTGTGTTCCAAACTCGCGTGAAAACCACGAGCACCTCTTAAAAAGTGTGGAGATTAAGGAAGCTATTGGGAACCCAAAGCAGTCTCCCTTTTACCTGGAAACAGCAATTCAAACTAAACAGCATATTTTTTTAAACACAAGGCTGGAATAAAGAAAGTTCGTCAGGAGAAAGTATAAATCTTTCAAATTGCGGTACTTCATTGCTGTGCATATTTTGGGCAGTTCAATACATCATATGCAGGCAACTGGGGGGGGGGGTTGGCCTTTGTTCTTGCTATCATACACGTGCATGCACAATGACAATTCCAGTAAAACATGCTTGTATACGTGTACAAACTACTGTAAACGATTAAATTTTTGCGAGTCACGTACAATTCGCGAAAAATACACCCCGCGAACAATTCTGGCAATATGTGAACGCTACGGAAGCTACACTCGATTCGTGAAAATTAGAACTCGAATAATTTCAAATTTCCAGCTTTGGCCCGATTCGCGAAAATTTAAGCCCGCGAAAATTAAGTCGTTTACAGTATATCATTATTTCACGAAGAAATCCTGTTCCACAAGCATTTCAAAGGCATTCATTAATGCATCTGCAAACCAGCGCATGCAGAGTGGCACGCACAGGGTCAGGGTTGTGAGCTAATTTGCCAGCCGCCCAAAGGCTTTTGATATAAATGCCACTTCAAATGCTCGCAAAGCAGGGTATAATATCCTCCCAACTGATAAACATGCAAACATAATTTCATTTTCTGAAACACTTGCGCCACCACTTCAGCGACCCCTCGCACACTACTACCACCTTGTGTCGTGTGGACGGATGGGGAGGTTCACCGGTGGAGCTATTTCTGTCGATAGCTTTTGGTATTTTTAACCTAATTATAAAGATAAAAGAGACAAACATGATAAGAAAAGGTACAGAAACACGTTGGTATGGTCTTGCCCAGCGTCTTGTACGCCGGGTAAACGAAGGCCCGCTCCTCGAAGTCCATGCAGCACACAACGGCTGACGTTGACAGTGCCTTTCCCATCCTTAAGTAGTCCATGCTTTCTTTAACCTCGACGTCTTCGGGTGGTGAAAGCGCGTACTGGCTTTTTGGGATTTGCATTGCAGCTCTAAACAGTAGGTCAGCATGATCGGAAACCAGGATACGGGGGCAGAAGTGAGCTGAATGTGGGATTGCGAAGCGGAGTCCTTCCCCCGATGTCACGGTAAACCTCGCCCGATCGGGGCGCGGCGATTGCAGCGACGCTTGTATTCGCTCTCGGGCCTAACAGAGCACACCGACTAGACACTTGTGACGATGACTCTGCGTTTTTTTTTCGGCAAAGTTTAATCAGTGCGTTCCGCTAACTTTCGGCGCCAACTTTGTGTTTGACGAGTCTATATCTTCAAGAAAGTTGTTCTTTCTTTCGGAGTGTCTCTCAGTGGGCTGCTATTTTGTGTGTTGCACAGGGGAGGCTCTAACTGGCGCAATCCTGAGGAAGCGGCCCGGGAGGGCTGGGGTGGAGGAGGAGGAGGCGGCGGCGGTGGCAGCCGCGACGACCAGCGTGGTGGCGGCGGCGGTGGCGGCAACTGGGACCGCCGCAATGGGGGGCGGCGCAACTACGACGGTGACGAAGACTGGACCAGACCGCTACCTAGGGACGACAGGATAGAGAGGTGAGCACGATCCTCCTCGCCCTGCAAGCCTTTTTTTTTTGGAGGGGGTTCATTTGTTCCGTTCCCTTTCTTTGGCATTTTAGAGAAAGAGAGAGTAAGCGAGGCGTGGCCCAATAAAGGAGTGCAAAGCTCGAGTCATGTGAAAAGTGGTTGGCGGCCTTTGATTAGGTTGCAGAGGCTTGAGTGGAAGGCAGACTCGAGAGCCTGCGGCGTCTCTTTGTTGCAGAGAACTGTTCTCCCAGGGACACACTGGTATCAACTTTGAGAAGTACGAGGACATCCCTGTGGAGGCGACGGGCGAGGACTCTGCCAAGCACATCAACTCGTTCGACGAGTGCTCCTTGACGGAGATCATTCGTGTGAACATTGAGCTGGCCCACTACACCTGCCCGACCCCCGTGCAGAAGCACGCCATTCCCATCATCCTGGCCAAGAGGGACCTGATGGCCTGTGCCCAGACTGGTGAGGTGCCGCTCATCAACTTCACTTTTTTTTTTTTTTTTTTTTGCATGTGTGTGTTTGTGTAGTACGATTTGAACTGGTTTGTTTTGTAAACTGCAACAGCTGCGGCCCCAGCAAGCTCGTCAGACCGAGGCACGTGAAACTTGCCGTTGAAGTGTTCTGCTCCTGCAGAGAGCTCTCATTATTGTTTTTGTCGCTAAATTGGCTCACTAAAACCATAGCATTAAACATGTACGAAGTTACCGCTAGAAAGGCGTCTAATCTAGGAGTGTTGGCCGTCATTGAATGACTGAAATTTCTGTTCGCTGAAAACTGAGAAATATTGAGCATTTAGTGTCTTCAGATCACTTTTGTACCGCAAACAAGTACCGTATTCGAATATAGGTCAACCTTTTTTTTTTTTCGGAAATGTTGTCGAAAATTAAGGGTCGACCTATAATCGTGACCAAAGAATTTCGACCTAATTCGCGACCAAAATTTTAAACCCTACCGAGGGTGTGGAGCTATCAATCACCTAGCCGGTGTTGCGGTAGAGCCCCGCGCCGAACAGCAGCAGCCGACAGCCAGCTACGGCTCTCGCACATTTTCCTCGGGCGTCGGGTTTCGCCATCACGCCTGTAGCGTTCCCCTCGCTGGGCAAGGGGGAAGGGGAGGGAGAGGAACGCGATGCGCCATGCACTTTGCCCTTCTATGCGCTCCATTCCTCTCTCCCTCGCAAACGCGCAAAAAAAAAAAAAAAGAAACGGAGGTACTTTAGTTTGTTTTTCTTCGGCGGGTCGCGTGTTGCTCACGGGGCTCGCAGCGTTGCTCATGTCTTTGTATTTGGTCTTTCGTGGCTGGCCCGTCTCCACCTTCTTTCGTTTCTTCTTGTCGTCATTTTACAACGGTGTCAGTGACGTATTGTTGCCAATTTGCGAGGATGTCTACCAAGCTGACCAAGCCTCGGACAACGATATGTCCGGAAGTTCTGACGATGAATAAGTTTTTGACATCGCCCTGTGATTTAGCTGAGAGTGCTGTAAATAAAGGTTTGTCTCTTTTGCCCTAACTTTCCCCTGTTCCTTAAAAAAAAAAAGAAAGGTCGACCTATATTTGAATTATTTTTTTTTTATTCTCGGTGGGCTCAATAAATAGGGGTCGACCTATTTTCGTGGTCGACCTATTTTCGGGTAAACACGGTAGTTGCGACAGGATATTGGACAAAGCAGGAGTCGTTTTACAGTTATGTGGTTTTTGTTCAGTACTGAGGGTTTATACGTTCCTACCTGATCTATAGAAAATTGAGCTGCTACGGGGAACCTTGGTGGCAAAGTGAACTTGATGTCTGAGCGGCGTGCTCATGTGCCCTTTCTCTCTTGTACAGGGTCTGGGAAGACTGCGGCCTTTTTGGTGCCCATCCTGAACCAGGTGTTTGAGGACGGACCGCCGAAGAATGTCCCACAGGTGGGTTGTGTTTTGTCTCATCGTTCCCTTTGTTGGCACTTTTTTTTGTTCCAACATGTGCCAATGCTGCGAGCAGAGGGTTGCACCACTGCAGAGTCGTATGACTACGTCTACGTTCTAAAATTAACGACTTGTTAGTAACTGTGGCACATCTTGACGTCGCTGAAACTTTGAAGAGTAAATGGAACATCACTCGGTTTCTTATTGCAAGTAACCGTGGATATAGTCGGTGACGATTAGGAGTTTAGGGGAAGCTCCTCCCACCTCTCCAGTTTAGCAGAGCGAACGCTGAAGAGAAGACAATTTTCTCTCGGCTAAGAGTACAGCTGTTGTCCTTTCGCTGGCATTCCTTTCGTGCTCCTCGTTTGTTGTAGCTGTTATTCCTATTGTGTTAAACTATTACCAGCTCTCCCAGTTCAGCACCGATTAAACAGCTCGATTATTCTTGGAGAGTGACTCCCAACAATTCGGTCTGTGCTTGGTCGTGAAGTGCTTGGGAAATGGCCCTGACTGTTACGGGGCCCCTTGCAGCAACCGCACCGCTACTCGTCGCGGCCCAAGCAGTACCCGCTGGCCCTGATCCTGAGCCCGACCAGAGAACTGGCCTGCCAGATCTACGAGGAGGCGTGCAAGTTTGCCTACCGGTCGCGGGTGCGCCCCTGCGTGGTCTACGGTGGTGCAGACCCCATGCAGCAGATGAAGGATTTGGACAGGGGCTGCCACCTGCTTGTGGCCACTCCAGGACGCCTGGTGGACATGATGGAGAGGGGCAAGGTGGGCTCTCTCTTTCTGCCTCTTCTGCTTCCTTCAGGCTCCGAATGAGTGGGAATGGGCGCCTCCATGTGTGCTTTGCTTAGGGCGCTGGCCTGTACCGTTGTGTCCCGAACACTCCTTTTTTTCTTTTTTTGTTCTCAAGCGCGTAAGAAAGAGCACCTCTCGGCACGAGCTCTGGGCGTTGACGGTGCTATGGCGGAATTTTGTTGCGGCTATTTCTTTGTATTTTTCCCGAGAGCGTATGCTGTCAACATTAGGTGCTACAAAGAACGTCTCTCCAAGTGGAAGGGCATTGAGGCACCCTAGGTTGGGGGCTTCAGTGGACCTGGAGAAGTAGGGGAGGTGCAAAAAGAGTTGGGTTTTGTAGCTAAACTCTTTCACTGTTTTATTTAGAGCATGCGTGCTAGAAAAGGTGCCATTGTATATTTTTTTTACAAGTGGTGACTGTTGTATGTTCGTCAAGGAACTGTGCTAGTCAAGGAAGTGTACAAATCTAAAAGGATGCCAGTCAGTGTGTGTTCGTTCGTAGATGAAAGCTTGGGAGACTATCATTTTCATTTTTGATTGATCTTGCATGTGGCTCACGAATCGGTAGTTTTCTAAAAAAAGAATAAGCAGGCAAAATATAGTAACGTGGTGACGAGCTCACGACAGGGCAGTTGTTCAGAGATTTCAAAATGTTTCTCGTAATTACCAGTTTGGACATTCATACGAGGAATTAAAGATGTGTACATGGTCACACCTAACGATCTGTCCCATGCTAGATTATTGGTGCATATGAAACAGTCTTGCTCCAGGGAGGTGAAGAGACAGATAGCCTTTTTATTTTAATGTCACTGTTTGGATGGGTGACGTGAAAAGCATGTTTGGGGATGTGGGGGTGACCCTGGGCACACGAGCGTGTTGCCGACCCTTTGTCCTTGTCTCTTGTGACGCATCCAGGTGAGCCTGGAGTTGGTGCGGTACCTGGTGCTGGACGAGGCTGACCGCATGCTGGACATGGGCTTTGAGCCCCAGATCCGGCGCATTGTGCTGGAGGACAACATGCCCCCTGTGGGCCAGCGGCAGACGCTCATGTTCTCGGCCACCTTCCCCAAGAAAGTGCAGGAGCTGGCCCGCAAGTTCCTCGACAACTACATCTTCCTGGCCGTAGGACGGGTGGGCAGCACCTCGGAGAACATCACCCAGAAGGTGGTCTGGGTCGAGGAGCACGACAAGCGCTCCTTCCTGCTCGACCTCCTGAATGCCGCAGGCCTCAGGACTGGCAGCCGTGAGTCTTTGCCACTGGCCTTTTAGAGCGGAGCTCTTAGGCGCCTGTTTCCAAGTTTCACGGCGTCGGCGTAACTGCGCTTTGGGAAAATCAATGTCGCGTGACCTCGGCACAAATTCAACTCCCCGCTTAATTTAGCGGGAAAAATGACGTCGCATGACTTGGTGTCTTGTCACCTGTGAACAAATTCAATTTCTCCGCTAGATTTAGCGGGAAAATTGACGTCGTGTGACTTCACTACCAATTGAATTCCCCGCTAAATTTAGCGGGGAAACTGAATTGGTGTTGAAGTCATGTGGCATCAATTTTTCAGCTAAGTTTAGCGGGGAAACTGTGGGAGGAGGAGGAGGAATGGAAGAAGAGTAGGGGCATACCCTACCCTCCGTATCCTCCCTTCCTCCTCCTCAAGAGCTGCGCTCTGATTTCGTGTTAAGAGATTTCTGAATGTCTCATTTTTTTCTCTCAACTTTATTTTCTTTTTGTCCATCGGGTGCTGAGTAAAGTTGAACTGTGCCTCTTCCCAGTCCTTGTGGACTGTTCTTCTCTAGGACCTTGTCGGTGGTCCCGTGCATGTGGTCAAAGGGTTATCTTGCAGAGGCGGCCCTGTCCGACTCGCTGACCCTGACCTTTGTGGAGACGAAGAAGGGAGCAGACTCGCTGGAGCACTTCCTCATGAAGGAGGGCTACCCCGTGACGAGCATCCACGGCGACCGCAGCCAGAGGGAGAGGGAGGACGCCCTCTGGTCCTTCCGCAAGGGACACACCCCCATCCTGGTGGCCACTGCCGTGAGTCTCGGATGCCTCTTCCACTCTCCTTGGGACGCTGTCTTGTCATTCTGCGTAGGAGAGAATGGTGTTCTCCCACTGTCGTGTGGTGTCCGGTTCGAAACACCTTCTGCAAACGTTTATTCTGGAGGGAGTGAAAAGGGGGAGTGGGAAGGTTCTCCCCACCATGGGCGGCTTTGCCGCCCTACGCTCGTTCATGCCACGGGATGACTATGCGATTTTGCCTGCACACATGGCTGCAAACTGCCGTACTCAGCAATCCTGCACACTGCCACTTCATTGTGTGTTATCGCATCGCCCACTGCTGCCACTCTTTTAAACAAGGAAGAGCGGAGTTGCAGGATGCTGCCGGCGGTGCGGAGAGGGTGTGGGGCAGGTTGTGCTCGACCGAGGAGAAACACAAAATAAATATGCGACGAATGTGCATTGCGCATCAATTCTCCACAGGTGGCGAGTGGCCGAAAGGACCTTTACAGCAAAGCTGTTTATGGCTAGGGTTCCGTGGATTTGTCTTGTGTGCAGTGACTAAAAACGCTCGCATTGCCGCACGAGTGTGCCTTCCCCGTATAAAACCAAAATAAAACATTGACAGACGTGCGTGCAAGATGTCATTTGTTTTAGGATTTTACATTAGAACAGTTACCGCTGCTGACGCCGGCACGTGTGGCGTGTGGAACACCATTTTCTGCATTCTCCTTGATGCATGGGTAACTTAGCAATAGGCCTGTTCAGTAGATCTTGAAAATGGGCTCCATTTTCAAGATCAGTTCACTCTCAAGCAGATTATAAAGGTCTCTCATATTTGCCGCTTTGCGACCTGCGTCGGCCATGTTCGCACGCTGCACTCCGCACTCTCCCGGGGTGGCAGTTCCGTCGAGCGTGTCTAGTTTCCTCCGGCTCGTCGGGGCAGGTCTGTATCGTCTGCTAAACAGCTTCGTTGGTAATCCACCTTCACAGAGTGGAATGGCTCATGATTTGTTTTTCCTTCACTGCTCAATGCTTGCTCGCGCAGTGTCTTGGTTTATCTCCGCCTCTTCGCTTGCTCCTTTGCTTTCCTTCACATTTTTTTTTTTTGTTTTCTAGGACAATTTGGTCTTTGTTTTAACGCCGCGGCATGGCACCACTCACAGGGTTGCAAAGTTAGAGAGCCTACAGAAAGTGCAGTCTGTCAGCAAGCCAGATCGTGCCTCCATTGCAAACTATTCCCTTACCGCTGCCTCCACTCTCATGGTGGTTATGTCCACCCCTAAGAAATTCCTGGGGAGGGGGTTGCTTTGGCTTTGCCACCTTGGGTGCTGCTTTGGTGTGATGTTTGCTTGGAGCGTTCTTGCATAGTCCAGCAGGGACGGTCCTATGCGGTCGTTTCTCTGTCGACTGCATAGGACCGTCCCTGTCGCTTTTCTGCAGCTCAGTGGGGATTATCCTTTGCAATCTTTGATGGCCTTTTGGCATCTCACTAGCTTCAGGCATTCTTGCACGGCCCTGTGAGTATCATTCTTTGCAAACTTTTGACGGTGGTTCAGCAGCGAACTTCATGGACAGCCCAGCAGGCACTGTCTTTCCAACCCCTGCTGGTGCTTCAGCGTTGCGCAACCTTGGAGTCTTCTCGCACGATCCAAGTGCCGTTGAAGGCAATGATATTCCACTGTTATGGAGCTGTGTGTCATTCCAAACCTTCCCAAGACTAGTGGTTTGATTTGGCCACGGGAGAGTCAAGCCGCAGTTTGGCTCCTAAGATGTGACAAACTGCATTTTGGAAATAAAGGTGCAGATTGCTGCAGGTTGAGAAACGGGAAGACTCTTGACGAGTGCAGAAGCATGTTGCGGATTTGGCGTGTACGAAACGTTTGCAAGAATATGCAAACTGCTAGTAGTGTAATAGTTACACGGCTCAACTCGGATCACGTGACCATATTTAGATAGTGGTTTTTTGAGAGCAAAACAAGAATGTCGGAAAGTGTGCCGCTTGCAACGTGCTTTTGACCGCATAATTGCATATCCTCGTGACTTACAAGTGCCATACCTTGGATGCAGGTGGCAGCCAGAGGCCTGGACATTCCAAACGTGAAGCATGTGATCAACTTTGACCTGCCGAGCGACATTGAGGAGTACGTTCACCGCATCGGTCGTACGGGCCGTGTGGGCAATCTCGGTGAGTGGCTTTGGCCTGGTGCTTCCTTTTTTTTTTGTGGGATTACAGAGGGTGTGGCTTCCACCATGTTTCATTAGAGGTAGCTAGGCCTTTGTGTGGTGTAATTTGCATCAAAGTGCTCTCGTGGTCTAACGCATTTTGAAAAGGTATAGTTTTGAGTTGAGGTTTCCCCTGTATTAATGCTATAGTCACTGACAGGTGGGAACGGCAGGGCTCTTCTCTAAAACGCGCTCGTTTCCTTTGACTGGGTGTGCACCCCCGTGGAAGGTGACGATAATCCGCTAATATTCTGCTCAGCTGTCGTGTCAGTCGTACGAAAATGGCTTTTGGTAAAGCACGCACAATGTGCTTGAGCTTAGAGGGCACGGTGCTCTTCTTTACCCATCCAGGCCTGGCGACGTCGTTCTTCAACGAGAAGAACCGCAACATGGCGCTGGACCTGGTGGAACTGATCACGGAGACGAAGCAGGAGCTGCCCGACTGGCTGGCCGCCCTGGCCAAGGAGGTGCAGGGGGAGCAGAGGGCCACCAACCAGAGGCGCTTTGGCAGCGGAGGCAGAAGGTGCGTCCCCCCTGCACACGAGATGGCCCTTTTGGTCTGGGTAGTGGGGAAAGCTGTCTGTTGCCGCCCCGGTGGCTTTATTTCTGCGAAGGCATATCGTCCTATCCACTCGGACGTCCTGGAACCATGCACCTTTGCTGGAGAGCATATTTTTTGTATTGGTGCTGGATAAACTAATTTTATAAGCGGCGCTTTTTTTTTTTCTTTCTCTCTTTCTCTCTCTCTCTCTGTGCCGATCTGTTACCTCGGATTTGGCCTTTGTGGAGCCCATTTCGGTGTCCCGTAACTAGATAAGCAGAGGCATGTTTCTGAGGCTAAACCTCTGGCAGAAGACTCTAGCCCTGGTTCGCTGGCTATGTGTAGTCGGCAGGGATGGGCAGTATTTCAAATAGAAGTATTTGAAATACGTATTTCAAATACTTTGTGTATTTTGCATTTGTATTTAATTATAAATTGAGTAATGTATTTAACGTGTGTATTTAAATACTAAAACGTGGGTATTTCAAATACATTTGTAATTAAATACAATTTTGTGGGCGAAAATACATCCCTCAAATTTATTGTCACTGTCCAGAGCAGTAAGAAAGCTACGCTCTGCACCGAATGCAGTGTATCTCAATCAAGCACAAGCGTTTAGTGACTTTGTGATTATGGTGCTAGTCCAGGTCAAGAATAGTGACGAAATCGACGTTCACATGCAGACTGGCTAAATAACTGCCTGTGACAACTTGTGATGCTTTCCAGCCTGATTTCCATCCATATTTTTGCCTGGAACATTCTAAATGCGCCGGTCGTCCAGATTTTCATAACTGATGCGAGTTGCAACAATACAAAATTCTCTAGCTGGTGCTGCGCGTCTTGGTAGTCTCGGTTCTTTGATGGTCTATACCAAAATGTAATCGACAAAAAAAGCTGCTTGAAGCTCTGTACTTTTTCCACCTATTACGTCCAAGCTGATAACATTTTTTTTGTGATTATATTGTTATTACGTTACTAGAGCCTCGCACACTAACTCCCGAGTGTGCGATGCAAAATTAAAATGAGATACCAGAAACCTTTTGCAGATGCCCTGAAGTTGCTGACGCAAATTTTGAGGAATGTATCTGGAAAAGTATTTGGAGGAGACGAAATACATTTGGTTGTATTTGTATCTTGTATTTAATTGCTTTTGGAAAAGTAATTAGATTTGTAATTACTTTTTTGACGAAGTATTTTGTATTTGTATTTCGATACATATTTGCATGTATTTTGCCCATCCCTGGTAGTCGGCGTACGTCCAAAGCATAAAATGTATTTGCACGAATATAACGCGAGAGCAGGTTTTAATGCCCTCAAAAAGCAAGACTACTATTATGACGCGAGCCGGAGGCTGCGTAAATTTATTGGACTCTGGGACATAGCTGAAGTGAAAAGGCAATGTAAATCGGGGAAATGTGAGTATCTTTTGACTGCATTCATCCTACTGCTCATGTCCTTCCATTTGCAATCCACTTGGTGACTTCGCAGATATGCAGTAGCACGGCGTCCCTTATCTGGTAGTTCCTTTTTCTTCAGTCCACAAGCAAAGCAAGGCAGGAAGCAGATGCACCAACATACAAGCACCACACCACTCTGGAGCGGAAACTAAAAAATGCGCAGGCAGAAAAAAGACTGCTGGACACGATACACCATCACACTCATTCTTCTGGTTCCTCCGCATAAACGACTGCCGCCCCATGACGCTGAGTGTCCGTGCCGCGAGGGCGCCTGTAACACCAAGCGTCCAACGTCAGGAGAGCGTTCGCAGGGCAGACGCAAATACGCTGCAAACGAAACACGGGAGCGGAAGAACAGCACGCATGCTTTCGCATTGCCAACTGATGAGAAGTGCTTAGGTGTACCTCAAGCCTTCCTTCCCCACCCAATCTCCTGCATTGATCCAGAAGGATTGCTTTCTCCAGACTCACGCGCCTCATGGCTGAACTTGATTCCAAATATTCGCGACTCCAGCGACCTTTAGGGGGCGCCACCACCAAACAAACATGGCGGCTGAGTCCAGGTCGCGTCATCTCGGCCGGGCCGCCTGAACAGGTGGTGCATTAAATTTAACAGATTTTCTTTTGTTTAATGCCCAATTTTATAGGTATTTGAACTGGGACGGTTAAGCGTAGCCGGTGCACATAAACTTGCAAAGCATAGTATTGTTTTTCCGGTGTTTTTTGTTCTTTTCATGTCAAACTTTCGTTTCGGAGATTTCGTTCAAAACAAACTATGGGCTCCAGAGAGACGGTAATATACTAATTAGTTTTGATCATCCAAGGAAAGCAGCGATGACTACAGAATTGTTCCGCCGAGAGCAGTTTTCAGCTAACATGCATGCCTCGACCATGCGACTTATCTGTCCGCGAAATCAAGCTTTTGTGCGTATCCGCGTTTAAGAAACAGCTCCAGTCGTCTGCTCAGTCACCAACACAGGCTGCAGGACAATTATGAAAATTAAGCAGGTGCTTCTTGAGCCAAGGACCGTGTTAACCTGCTGGCGCCCCACTAAGCAGCTGTCACTTGTATTTCAATTCAGGTTTTAGTAGCAATCGAGAAGTCGTTTTGTTTAGCGGGTTATGTGTTATATTACATACTATGTCCCACTAAAGCGATGTTAGTATATTCTTCGGGTTGAAATATGAGCTTAATTGACTAGCTATTAGGCGAACTGCTGAATAAAAGTATAGTTGACTAGCTATTAGGCGAACTGCTGAATAAAAGTATATTTTACAGACAGAGATATACTACTTAAACTTAGCCAAATGGTTCTAGCCGGCAGCACGGAGACAAACTGAAGAGAGCCTTCATCGGAGATACATGCAAAATCTCTCTAAGCATTGAACTTTGCTTCGAATCCTGAATGGAGAAAATGGGTATTTTTTGTGGCCGGTCAAACTGAGCAGTGTAGACTTACATTGCTGCTGGCTTCGACAGGGGTATAATATAAATATTGGTGGCAACATTTGTGTTCCCTCCAGTGAAACACCGCGCCTGTCTTCCTCAGTCCACTGTTCTGCATCCTTATAAAGAAGCCACTTATAAGTTACCTAGTAGTCGTCACTTTGAATGTTATTCGAGACGGACAAGAAATCAAAACTTTTTTCCGTGATTCCTCCCCATCCAAGAAATCGAAAGCATGCGATCGTGTGTTGTGGAGTAAACGGGCTTTCAAACACGTGATGGAAGGAAAGAATCTACTGAGGCTTCACCACACTAATGAACACTCAGGCAAATTTTTAAAAAAAATATTCGGACCTTCGTCAAATTACATTGTTCGCCACCGCGCCGACAACACGTGTCCGCGAAAGCCACCAGAGATGTGGACAGGCGCGGAGCGACCTGGTCCGGCTGGTTCCCGGTTTTCCCCATTGGTGGCGTCCGTTTTGCTGGAGTCGCGAATAACGCGAGGTGTGTTTTGGAGCACGTAATTACGAGAGAAAAACCTTGCGCTATATTCATGCAAATACGGTAATTGTTAGCAGTGGCTGGACACAAATAAACTACCCTTCCAGGCTTGTTGTATTAACCCGAAAATATTGCTGCACGTGAAATACGCGGAGGGCCAGTCATTACGATTGCAAAAGGGGTCCTATAAATGAAGAGGCACAAAAGTGTTCTTCGCCGGGCATATTTTGCGTTTGATTTCCAGCTCGAATGCTTCACACTCACTTGTCTCTTCTACATTGTAGTACTGACCCTTCTGTACTTTTCTTTAGGCTTTGGTCGTAGAAAGGGCTTACCTTTTCTTCGGTAGAGGCAATAGCCCGTCAACGAGTAATGTCCGAAGACACTGTCTCGCGTTGTGCGAGGCTTCTGAAGACGTCGGAACCCTATTGCGTCTCCTCAACGTGTCTTCCGTCCACTCGCAGCACCCGTTATGGCGCCGGCGGCTTCGGCAGCCGGGACTACCGGCAGTACGGGGGCCGCGAGCGCACGGCGGGTCCTCCCAGCGCCGGCGGAGGCCGCAGCACGGGCGGCGCCCCGGGAGGCTATGGCGGAGCCCCGCAGTACGGAGGCTACGGCAACAACAGCTTCGGGGGCAGCTACCGCCCGAGCAGCTACGGGGGCAACTACAACTCCTCCAACGACTGGTGGGGCAACTGAGGGGGCTCCGGGTGTGCTGGGGGGGACTCCTATCTCTCCGCCCTACGGTGCCCCCCCCCCCCCCCCCCCCCTTTTTTGACATTTTGGGTCCTCCCCTCTTTCTTTACTTGTACCTAGCTCGCTTCTTCGGTCCCCCTTCCCCCGCTCGATTTCTTTTAACCGCTTCTTCTTCTCGGCGGGGGACGGGGAGGTTGAGAGTCTGTCTGCTGCACAGGGTGGACCTCCTTGTGTGTGAGCGAACAGACTCTTTGGTGGAGAGAGGGAGGCGCTCTCTCTTCTCGCCATGTATTCCGTTGTTTTCCGCCGCGACTCGTTCGGTGAACTGGACCGTCGCTGCCGCTACGACTGCTGCGACAAGGGGTGGCGCCATCTCCGGCCGGCACCACCGAAGACGACCGAACCAAAGTGGTGAAGTGCACGTTTATTTTTCCCGAGGTTTTCGAAGGGAGGAGGTGCTTGTTCCTGCGTGACGGAGAAGGTAGGCGAGTTAACGGCATTCTCTGTGTGTGCGAGCAAGGTCGGAGGAGCGAGACCCAGGTGACCTTTTTTGTCGAAGGGGGGAGCACACCATTGTTGTCTTTTTTTTTTTTTAAGCTTTCTCCTCGCGCTCATTGACGAGGAGGGAGGGTAATAGCAAAACAAGATGTGTGAGAAGAAAAAAAATTGACTAGCATTGTTTTTATCCTCCTCACGCCTAGATTCTTTCAATTAAAGTATGCGGAAGTGAAAAAGGAAAATGGAGAGTTCGTAACTTGCACGGGCTCTCGTAGTCTTTCTCGGCAGCCGGCGTAACATCCGGTAACCGCCGTCGGCGTTTGGGATTTGGGTCCTGATGCAGTAGAGGTCCCAAAGAATGTCGCTTCCCTTTCCTAATTTATTGCTCTCGCATTTGTTTCCCCCTCGCTGTCCGAGTACTACACATGTGTGCCGTGGTTGCGGCCGTCCTTCGCTCTGTTTTGGAAAGCCAGCATCGCAATTCTTGACTGCAGGAAAAAACAATCTGGACAATCTAATAACTCCCCCACCCCCTTCGCTTTTTCTCTCGAGTTTCTAGCCGAACTTTTGAGTGCGTCTCGACGGTATGGGACTCTTTCCGGCCTCGGATGTTTGTTTCGAGCATTAGTGAATGTAACACTGTGCGTGTGCTTTACATGTGTTTCGATTTGCTCGGCGAGTAAATGCTGGCCGGTTGGGTCAGTCAAGGCCAACTCCTGTGAACCTTTGCCTGCGTTCTCCTTGGTGTTTATTACTCCCCTTTTGGGGGTGGAAAAGGGAGTCTTTCCCCGAGCACGAGCTTGGCCAGGCCACTTGCTAGTGTACCATGACTCGAGGCTGCCAATTGCTGTGTTCTTTGTCCGGGAATTTTTTTTTCGTTTCGCTTTCGTTTAAAAGGTGGTTTATATGCATACGTATATATATATACATATATATAGTTGCGGTTGTACTGGCGGTCTCATTGGTTTTGCATTTGTATGCTTTTGTGTTCTTCCATGTAATTCTAAGTTACTGTGCGCACTGGAGGAAAGGTGGGAGGTTTAGTAGCATAAGTCTTTCTCTTTGTTTTTTAATGCAAAGGGTGTGAAGATTATTTTTTTTGTCTGCTTTCTGTGTTTGCGTGTAGTGTTCTCTTGTTACTTTTTTCCCCTTCTACTCACTAGCTTCTTGAGACGCCGTTATGTATACACTTGTGTATGTGGAAATATCTTGGACACTTACATTTTTTGGGGAGACGCACGGATCCCGAGGGGTTTCCGGCGCTTCCTCTGAACGCAGGAGCAGGCACACAAAGTGGGGGACGAGGAGACAAGGCGCTACTATAGGTCTGTGTGCGGCACGTGTGTGGCTCTTCGCGGTTTCGCTATGCGCTACGGCGGATTATGTGGCAGATGTCACAACCAAATCCCCGTCTCTCTCTCCCGGAGATCGGGAGGGCGAGGCCGGTGAACCTGCCTATTTTTTCGAGTTTAGGTGTACAGCGCGGTTTTAAAAACAAATGATGGGCAAGATGAACAAAGCGGGGGAGGGATGAGGCAAAATTTGAGCATTGGCAGCACAATTTCTGGAGTGGCGAAAAAAATGGGGACGAGTCAAATTCTTGTCTTTTTGTTTTGGTGGGGAGGGCTCATAACCAAAGGGGTAGGACAGGTTTTTTTTTTTTTTATCTTGCTGCTGGATTGTAGGGCAAGAGTCTTCGTTGGTTTCCTTCCAAATTCCTCGTCGATGAAATCTCGGAAATCCGTCAGAGCAGAGACCTTCCGTGGCACGGTGGAAAAAAAACTGACAAAAGAATGAAACGGCGTCTTTCTTTTGTGGCCAGGATATGCAGGGTTCTCGCTCTTTCTGCCAAGAGATTAGGAAGTGGTCCAGAACATTTTGCTCCCCGGCAGGGGGAGGAAAGAAAGGGCTCGTACATACCGGAAGTATTGTGGCCTCGTGTGCCCTTGGGCAACCTTTCGTTTCAGCGGCATCTTGAAAAGGCTCATTTTATTCCTTCCCACCCATCTGGAGTCGATGGCTCTTCTATTTCTTTTAATGCGTGTATATGTGTATGTATATCAGCGTGTGGCGCACACGCGTGTATGTATGTATATATGGCTTGAATCTAGAACTGCGAGTCTTCCCGCATTTTTATTTCTCCCGTTCCTGCGATGCAAAGGGAAACAAGCTGCGAGGCCACAAAACTTGACTTTCGGTGTTTTATTGTCTGAGCGAGGAGGTCTCGGAAAGGGCGAGAGTATACACCATCCCACCTCCCAGGCACCAGCCGCTGCACGCAGCAGTACGAGAAGGCTGTCTAGTCTTTGTTCCTTCCTGTTGAGAGAGTCTCGCACGACAATGCCGCGTGCCTTTGGAGCCCTCGCTTGGCTCGCAGAGCTCGTCCGCCGAAAGGTTTGCAGGCGAGACTCTCTGTTCTCTACGGAGTTTGAAGAAACCTTTTTTTTTTTTTCCCTTTCTTTGCGCGCAGAACGTCGCTTCCGTTGCGAGGTCGTACAAAAAACGACGAGTGGACAACCATTGATTTTGCGGTCACTCAAAGTGTATGGGCTCAGTCTTGCCTATAGCTGGTGTGGGGCGTCGGGGGGCCTTTTGTAGGGGTTGGGGGCCGAAAGAGCTTGAGGAGGGTACGTCCGTGCTTCCAAGTCGGGGGGTGCATCGCGGCCGTCAGTTCTGACGAGAACGTGCCTTACGACGACTAGTGGAAGGGGCAGGTTTTTACACTGCCGCTTCCCAAGCAGTTCTTGGCTGGGCACTTGTACATAAGTTCATCTGCAGGGAGTGCATTAGGTCTCATTGTCTATAGGTATATATGTGCATTACATATTTATATACGGGAGGTGAGGTGGCACTCCTGGCGTGCGTGTGCCCGCATTTTCTAGCAGTTCCGGGGATTGTACATAATCGGAGGGTGCCCGGGGTAGACTTGTGAGCTGCAGCCATTGCCTCCTGGGCTGGCCCGAGCACCTTCCTTTGCCGGCGGGAGTGGGTAGACCATTGGGTTGGGAAGTGGGCGCTTAGGCAATTTTAAGCAGAGTTCTCTGAATTTCGGAGTATTTAAATGGAAGGGGCATTTCTTTGGGGATGGTCGTTTATGGGAACAACAGGTTTCTCCCTTTTTTAACCTGTATTTAAACGCTGCAGCTTTCATTTGGACAATGAGAGAGAAAGTGCTGTTGGCACATAGCCTCTGTCATCAGGTTCAGTTTCAAATTTTCATCCTTCACTCCAACATTACTTTCTGGAACAAAGCGTTCGTCCTGGGAGGTCCATTGCCAATCTCTCGTCGTCTTGGCATTTGTGAGGGAAGACGCCGACACATACATTTTGCCGGAGGTCTCTGCTACGTTTTGGCGGCGCAGCTCCTGAAAAGCATAACTGTCCACCAGAACAAATGACCAAAGTACACAGCACAAAAACAATTTTGCCCATCATTGCTTTCTTGATTTTTTTCTTTCTTTCTTTCTTTTCGGGGCTTGCATTCTGTTTTGGAGTGCAGGCAAAGTTTAGGGGAGACAGGCAAGGCCAGTTGCTTCTTGGAAGGCCTGAGATTAATAGACAACCTGGTGAGAGCTGGTTGTGGTGATCCTATGGGTCACATGCAAACGTGCCGGGCGGGCCTGGCGATTTCGCGAAGTACACAGATTAAAAGGCTGAATCCTCTACTCCAGAAATTGTAATCTTGTCTTACCTTGGGTAGCGAAGGCCTGTTGTTTTTTTTCTCCGTAAACAACCAGATGTGGGGAGGATTGTTTGGCCCCCAAGTTTTGGGCATTTTATTGTCATTGTATTGGATGTGACCTGTTCCAAATCAACGAGAAATAAAATTGGTAGTCACGCACCAGCTACATTGTCTTTTCTTCGCTTGCTCACCTGTAGTTAAAGTAGGACATGTCTTTTCTCTGGTAGTGTCTGTACCAGTAACCGATTCCAAAGCCGATGACGATCGAACCCATGATGGAAAATGCGATCGCAAAGCCTAGTGTGTATGCGCTGTACAGGTGAGCCATACCTTTTGCAGCAGAGTCTGCACCCCAGTGATCATTGAAGCTTGGCAATTTCATGTTCGAAAAGTGTTTGGAGAATTCGTCTGGACACTCCATGCTGTGTCCCGTGAGCACTTCCTGGATGACTCCTTTCGGAGGTTCGCCGTCCACAAGGGACCGACACTTTCCTGTGGCTTTGTCCCACACGCAGTAAGGATCTTGGAGTCCCACGCACTGAGTGCACGTGCGTACTGTCCAGTTACAGTTGTCCAGCGGCACGGAAACCACCTCGACGTGTGATGTCGCCAAAAGCGTCATCAGTTGGCGGCGGCGTACTACCTTTAGCTCTACGACAGGCTCTTCGGCAGGGAAAACCACTATGTCTTCAATGACCACCGTGGAAACCTCCTTAGCTCCTATATTGATGGCTTTAATTATGTGACCGTGACTAGTACCCACAAAGAAGACGTCGTACCTTTTTCCATTAGCGCTACGCACTTGCGGGTCTATCGTCAGGCTGGTGTAACGGTAGTCGAAACCAACGTGAGCCAGGACGGGTTTGTTGAGGTAGTTGGTCACATCAACCTTAGAGAGTGGGTCGTACCGCTCAAGGGGCGTGGATGTTGTGGATGAGTTCGCAACTACTGGAGACTTTCCACTGCACCCACTCTGGTTCGATTTGCCATCTCTGAAAGATCTGTCAATGTCTTCGATGCTGAACGCGCACACGGCTGAAGCCTCGAAGGGACTGTCACGAACATTAAATGCGGCGTACAGCACAAAGGCGTCGTTCCAACGAGTCAGTACTGGACTGATACTCTGGATGTGCGAGAAGTCCAGAGGATGTGTGCCATTGAGTGAACAGCACAACCGTGCCTTCTGGAAGGTGGTCCACATCCATTCGTGCGGTGGCGCTCCGCCAGGGTCGTTGCCGCAGACTCGGACAACCGTGGACGCCACGCGTCGACCGCAGCTCTCCTTTTCTAGCGCCGTCTCCGTCATGAAGAAATAGGCGTACTCTTCGACCGCGAAGGCCGCAACGAACTGCGCGTCGGCGCTGAGGTACTTCCAGTCGTTCAACTTTGTGCGTAGGGACATGCCAGTCAGCATGGGCAACTTCTTGGGCGTTGTGTGGGCCGAGACGCCAGCGATCTGGCGGTTCCCGAGAAGCAGCATCACGGCAGACTGGTTGCGGTTGTATGGACACAGGTTCTTGCCATCCACCTCGGTCTTCCACGTGTAGCCCTCGGTGTCGCTGTATTTGTACTCTCGGCAACGTGGCGAGTACGCGTTCGTCCCGCAGACTAAGAAGCCATTGCGGGAAATCCGTTTTGCTATTCGAATGTAGTTGGCGCAGTTAGGGTCTACTTTTGCTTGTAGCGCGGGACACGCATAATCTAAGCCCCCGTACGACGGCCAGCTGATGTTGCCGAGCTGTTCAAGCGTCCGCAAACTCAGGTTGTAGAGGTAGTCTCTGCCCCCTACGAGGACATTGTCCCTTTCAACCAGCAGCAGTCGTAGACTCTCTGCCGATGCGTGGGTTTCGTTGCTCCTGGAGAAGACTTGAACCATCTGATGAGGATACTCCTCGATGAAAAGCTTGGGCTCCAGCTGCCGCTCCCAGAAACCTGTGCAGAGGGACAGCGCTTGGAGTATCGTCAAGGGAAGTAGCGACCGCATCCTGTCTTTGCGTCGTAAGTTGAGCGGAGGCGGTGAGGAATTTCTGGTCCCGATTACGGCTCCAAAACTGGGGTCTTCATCTTCCTTCATAGTACGTCTTTTATAACGTGAAGTCCATAGAGATAGAAATGATGATTGGACTTCGTTGGAGAGGAGACTATGCGCCGAAGAGGGAAAGGAGGATATGCACGAGAATGTCAGAACGCGGAGCTCTGGTTCCAATGATTAGTGGGTAGGCCTAAAGCTGGCCCTTGTCTCTACTGCACTCGTCGAACGCGTTCGAATGCCAAACGCCGGCGTTCAGCGTTCTAACGCGTTTGACGAGTGCTACGGAGTAGGCAATGTACTGTTTGAAGCAAGTAAGCAAACGCCTGTACTGTTTCAATATAGGTTTAGGTCAATATAGGTCGAAATACATTAAAGGGGTCATGAAACGAATTTTGGGCTGGGATGAATGATTTCAAACTGGGACTTTACTAATCGCATATCGTTTAGTTGGCCAAAAGAAAGAGGGCAGATAGTCAAAAAACAGCTTTCCGGTACGGACATTTGAAAATATGGCGGACCTATTTTGTACATTCTTTCCTTCGAAAGCCTTTTCACTATGATACATCCGCGGCTCCCAAAAGCGCGTCACCGGCGCCAACCTGACGTCAGCCGAGCCCAGCTCACGCATTGGACACGAGAACTGAGTCACTCGGACGTATGCGCTCGTCAATAATCAATCCGTCGACGAATATTTGGATTCGCGCTCGTGGCCAATGAGTGCCCTGGCGGAACTTATCGTCACTGGGGAATGACAAGTTCTATGGTGTGCATAAAAAGCACGGTGAAAGCTAGGAGTCATCGCACCGGTGCCGAAGAACGTCACGACTACGTGATTTCACAGTTCGCATTTTAGCTGAGCATTAAAGCTAAGGAGGTAGAAGTAGGAAAATCGTTTCATGATCCCTTTAACTGATGGCGAATTCGGGTGGTCAATCGCCGGCGAGCTCACGCCGGCGGCACAGGCAACGAAAACCGCGCCAGCGACGCACCACATGACCCTCTCCACCCGAACACAAAGCGCCTGCAACTGGCGTTTTCGTCTGCCTGGGTAGCGCGTGAACTTCGTTAACTTCTTCCTCGATTATTTTATGATACAATAGGCACGCTGTAGGCATCAGCAACATATATTCGGACTCTGAGATGTGGGTAAACAAATTATAATATATTTTGTTTAGATTCTCGAAGAACTGTTGACATTTTACAAGGATCCCAGAAGGCTCACCAGCGTCGCCATTTTATATTCTATTTTCTTGTCATTACCTTTTTGTAGGAATCCTCAGCATTTTGATTTGACCCAGCCCTTTAAAATAGCAATGCGCGTTCAAGTGTCGAGCTGCAGCACTATCAATACATTCTTTACAGCGGTGTAATAACACGCTGTGTCCCATAGGAAACTGATCTTGCGGAAGCTTCCTTTAAAATATTTTATCTTTGTCTCCGTTTTTTTTTTTTTTTGCTGTCTTTTCTAGGACCACAGAGGGGTGTCTGTCTCAATGGCTTCGTTTTCAACTCGAACCCGCTCTCGGCGACCATTGTTTCGTTTGGTTCCCTTTCCCGATTCGGATATGACGATACCGGATACAGTCTGGCAGACAAGCTGCCCGAGCTCTTGGAGCTCGGGCAAAAATTGTGCCGGTTAATTGCCAGCACACGCCTGAGAACTGCCACCCGAACGGCGCGCACTCGCCAGCCTTTGACCACGCGAACGCCCTTGGCGGAGATATGGCAAAATATTTTGCCGGGAAATGACCACGCGAGTTCGCCATGAGTATGTACCTATTTTTTCTGCTACTTTCCGAAAAAAAGTACAATTCCCGATTTCAAAGTGCATTCGCCAAATCTTGTTAAATTTGTATCACAAAATGATACCGCGTAAAAAAAAAGTGCATCATAAGTTTATTGTGTTACGTTGTTCGTCAGCGAGTGTAAAACAACTACGTGGGCGCTTCATCGCCACTCCCCCCCCCCCCCCCCTCAAAAAAAAAAGTGTTAGTTTGAAAAAAGAATGCACTATGAAAGATCGTGTTAAAAAGTACTCGTACTTTGCTATGAAAGTACCTGAGTTAAAGTGCTAAAATACTATTCATAGTACTTAACTTCAAGAGCATTGTGCCCGGTGTACTTACTACTTTACTTAGAGTAGATAACCTCTAATTTGATCATAATTTACTTCAAGTACATTTGACATGTACTTAAACCCAACACTGGCTCTAGGCCTACCCAATAATTATGCCAAGCAGAGCTTGGCGTTATAAAATCCCCACGCTCCCTCATTTCTTTCCCTATAAGTTCCTCGGCGCATTAAAGTTTGCTTAATCTTTTTTTTTTTCGTTACCGATGTAGTAGAGCAGTCGAATATTGCATTTAGAAAAGTAGTAATTTGAGCTACTTGGTACTTCAACATCATAAAACAGCGTACAAAACACGGAAGAGAATTCGGGACAGGTAGAGCGAAAGAGCGCCGACTCCCAACTGATTTATGACACACCTCATTATGGGGTGTATCTGTGCACCCCCGAATGCTGAAGGTGTATAGAAGGGTGCACATATGCACCCCTAAAGAGGGTGTATATATGCACCTCGTTTTGAGGTGTTCTTGTACACCGTTATGGGTGTAGTATATGTGGCAGCACTTACACCCCCTGTGGGTGTACCCACTACACCCTTTTTTTTTAGAGTGTAGAAATGGACCCTACGTGATAGCTAACAAAGTCGCAGCATCACAGAAAGGCCATTGGCCCGTACTTGAGGCCCGTAGCGCCGAAAGGAAAAAGAAATTTCGAGGACACCGAAGCCCTTCTTACGAGTTGTGAATGCGAAAGCATGGACGTCGTTCTTCCGCTCCTTTAGTTCGTCTGCGGTGTACTGGCGTGGACGGCCGCGTTTTGCTACTGCCCAAGTTCCGGTCTGCGGCCGAGCGCGCGCTATCGTGAAGCGGCCGCAGCCCATTAAAAAAAAGCAAAAAAAAAAAAAAAGCGTTTGGTAGCAATTTTGTACCTTCATAAATTAACCCACAATTTGAAAAAAAAAAAAAAAAAAAATAGCCAGCAGGTATGATGTTCCAGTGGGTTTTCTGCGCCCAAAGGCTAGCCAAGATCTGCGCAAAGGTGGGCTCCGTAATTGACCATCGTTCACGAACCGCATGCCACAAGAAACACAAGAACAAGTTCGTTGCCTGCACGGAAGGTGCAGTTTGCAAGATCCCCCTAACCTGTGCTGGTTGCTACAGGACAGACTGAAAGATGCCTCAACGACCGGCTTAGAGAACATTCTTATTCTCTAGTAGGAGGGCATCTGCCTACACATTGTCTCACCTGCCAGTGCACACCGACTTTTAGTGGCACAACTATACTCGAGATATTTCAAGGTCGGACTACCCGAGAGGTACTTGATGTTCATCAAATTAAAAAAAAAAATAAAAAAAAAAGTTGGAGGGTATAATGCGTGAGCCAACCTCCTCTGTCGTTGAGTGCCAAAGACGTGGCATTCTTAGTCAACGCCAACGGCGAGTGAATTTGGCCAACCGGGAGTGAAAAAGTGCCGTTTTGTATCTTTTCTGTTCTTCTTATTTCATTTTCTCTTTTTTGTTTCACCGGCGAGCTTTACGGTTTCTTCTTCCTTTTCCTTTTTCGCTCAAATCAATCACGTCTGTTTATATTTTCTTCTTTTTCTTTTTCCTTTTCGTATTAACTATTACCTGGGGTCCAGGTTTATGGGTTCTTTTTATTTCCTTCTCAAAATAAATGAGTTGGGAGTCAGCGCTGTTTCCCCCTACCTGTCCTTTCTCTTCCTCCGTGTTCTGTGCACCGTTTTATCATGTAACAGGGAGTTTTCGTAGATGGCTTTTGCCGTCCCGCAACGCTTTCTGCAACCCGCTACGATACTCTGAACTCTGCGGTCAAGTCCATGGGCGCGCAAGCGCAGGCTTCTCCGTTGCGGAGGGCTTAGCGGTGGGGGGAAACGCGGCCTACGAAAACTCCCTAATATTGCATTCGTTTCTCCGTTGTCTCTCAGCATCAGCTACCAGCGTCCTTTCAATGGCGTGGACTTACCTATAAGTCAAGGGTGCTCATAAAATCAAGGAGTTTCGAATCCAGGACGGCTCTGAGCATTTCGGAAAGTCGCCTGTGCGCCTGCGCCGTGCAGCACGTGCTCGTGCTTTCTTACGCAAAAGCGCGCAGTAAGGCACGGTCAGCTTTCCCACATAGCTTGGGATCGAGCATTTTGAACCAGGTATCAGGATCGCCGTAACAAATTAAAGTGGTAACTGGTGGGCATCAGCGGTAAGTCGAAGCCACGGGGGGCATCGTCTAATCCATAGGCGAGAGTAACCTGTGCGTGTATATTCATGCGAAAACAAGCAGAGGTGAGCGGGATTGGGCCGATCTGTCACATGGCTATGCCTAGATCACAATCCGCAGTCATTTTCTGGGCTCTGCCAGATGACCTTCGTAAGCTCGTAAAACCCAACGATTTACTACTACTTTTCTGTCCTTTTCTTATTCTTTATTATTATTTTTTTTTTTTTTAATTGCGGTTGCATATGATCGTTACCGCGATTTGCATAGCATCCTTGGTTGCGGGTTTCGGGTCGGATGTACGCGGGCACAGCTTGCAGTGACATTACATCAGGGGCCTTTGTGAAGGACCTTGCAGCTGCGCGCGTAACTCACATTTCGCACAACCGATTTTTTTTTCTTAGCAGTAACGAACGAGTAGGAATGATCGTGGTGTTGTGCGATGACGTCACGTACAAGCCACTTATACGCCTTTCTGAAGTCGATGCAAGAATGGCGAAGAGAACGAGCAGAATGGTCTGTCTTGGACAATCCTCGAGGAAGTCTCCCAGACCTGTCACGCGCAAGGCAGCAGACTGCGAGAGGTTCACGACCTCTTGTAATGTCGTGGATGTTGTTTGTCGTGCCGCCCGTGCCGTGTCCTTTTATATAACTCGGGGTCCTCACCCGAGGTCGGAAGCTTGCTCGTTGAACGAACACACGGTTATTTTGGGAGTCGGCAACGGTTGCTCTTTTCCTGCTTCTTCACAATGCCCGCTTTCACTCGAAACGTCTTTTGCTCGACGCGTTTGTGTATCAGTTTTATGGGACTCTGGTGTCGCTTATATAAA